TGCATGTGAAAGGCATGTACACAGCTTTTACTACCAAAAAAGTCAGCAGAGACTCCATCCACAGAGCTGCAATGGAAGGGAAAACCTATATTGATATCAAGGACATGAATGCTCAGCCCTACACCTTAACTGGCATAAGCCCTGTGGAATGCAATGTAAGTATGTAAATTGATTATGGCAACATTGCAGGAACTCCTTGACCTACCACCACAACTGAGCCCATTTTTGTTGCTAAGCAAGATAGCTGTTAAGTGGTTTTTGCTCTACTTTACAACCTTTCTTGCCATAGATGTTAAGTAAATCACTGCGGTTGTTAAAGTAGTAACACGGTTGTAAAGTGACTCTGGCTTTGCTTGTCAGAAGGTCACAAAAAGTGAATCACATGACCCCAGGATACAGCAACTGTCGTAAATATGAGTCAGTTGCCAAGTGTCTGAATTTTGATCACATGACCATGAGGATGCTGCAACAGCCATAAGTGTGAAAAATGGTCATAAGTCACTTTTTCCAGTGCCATTTTAACTTCAATGATCACCAAATGAACTGTTGTAACTTGAGGATTACCTGTAATGGAGAGGCAATAGAAATCATCTAGTCTCCTTGTTTTAATAGGAAATGAGACATTATGTGTTCAAGGATGTCTTAGTTCTCTCCCTAGCCTTACTTTTAACCTTGCACAAAGGTTTACTTTGGTTCTGACACTGGTTACAATTGAGCCCTTGGTGCTCTCTGAGCTTAGTTATTTGCTTGCAAAAGTGATTGGACAGCCATTTGTCTGAAATGGTATAAGGGTCTTCTGCTTCAGAGGGTTGGATTAGAAGACCTCCAAGGTCCCATCCAACTCTGTTATTCTGTTATTTCATTACCAAACTAAGTAACAGGCACTGATAATGTTACCTAGTTGTATAATAGCAATAGCACTTAGACTTATATACCACTTCATAATCCTTTACAGTTCTTTCTAAGTGGTTTACAGAGTAAGCATGTTGCCCCCCCCCCAACAATCTGAGTCCTCATTTTACCAACCTTGGAAGGATGGAATTCTGAGTCAACCTTGAGCTGTTCAGAATTGAACTCCTGGAGTGAGCAGTGAGTTAGCATGCAGGACGCTGCGTCACCACGGCTCTTTGCAAGCAAACAACCACGTTTACAGAGCGCCAAGGACTCCACAGATCAAAGCTAAGCTTCATATATTCTCTTCTATTAGAACAGATTATGATTTTAGGTAACAAACTTCTGGGCACCATCATTTTACACAGGAAAAAAAAGTTAGGTTTAAGGGTAGTCCTCTACTTATTTATATATTTATTTTTTTAAATTTATAGGTCACCAGTCTTGTGGTTAGGGGATGACTCTGAGCGACTTATGACTACAATTGGAACGAGAATTTCTGTGGCTAAGCAGGGCAGCTGTTAAGTGAGTCCATCCCAATTTTACAACTTCTTTTGCCACAGTTGCTAAGCTAATCCCTGCAGTTCTTAAATGAGTCAAGTGATTATTAAGCGAATCCAAAATCACTTTAATTGTTATGCCAGTTGCCAAGTGTCCAAATTTTGATCACATGATCCTGCGGACGTTGCAACAATTGTAAGGGTGATGACCAGTCATTAAGTCACTTTTTTCAGCAGCACTGCAACTTTGAACAGTCACCAAATAAATGGTTGTCACTAGAGGACTATACGCAACTTAAGCTTGATTTAAAAAACTCCTATAAAATGGGCATCCAACTGCCAAGATTTTCTATTTCCTGCGGAATGCATGGTCCATTTAGTAATCTTCCTTAACATTTTACTTAAATGTGTTTTTCCCACTATTTTAATCCCTTGTGTTACTTTGAATCCTGTCCCTGGAAGCAGCAGAACTTAAATCAGTTCCATCATCTATCTGACAGCCTTTCAAATAACTGAAGATTATTTGCAGCTCTAACAGGAAAATACAATGTTTTATAGGATATGTAAAAATAAAAGTTATAGCCCATTTATTTTAGGATAAAATACACTGTGAGAACCTACGATAAATACACGTCTGATTCAACAAGTATTTGCAATGTGCTTCTATGCAGATTCTTATCTACTGGGCTGGTACATTCTTCTTCAAACAATTTCACCTGAATTCTAGTAGATAATGGTGCAAGATGTTCTCTGTTTACATTGCCTAGCTTCTTACTCACTGGGTTTTGAATGCCAAAGCATATTTTTAAGAATCATTTGGATTACCCTAGTTAGGTTCCATTCGCTGCATGTGGCTCCAGCGCTTAGAGTAGCTTGGATGTTCTTATATTTTCATGATGTAATATTGGTCTAATTGCAGCTCCACTCTCTTCTTCTCCAGGGGGTGTCACCCACTGAACCCCCTTCCATTTGGAATGCTCCATCTGGCAACCTTGTCAACTGCCTCCTCCTCTTTCAGACCTATTTCCTATTACTTTTTTCAGAGAATCCTATTTTCAGATCCTTTTGAAAAGAAGTGAAATTGAGACATTTCGTAAAACAAAAACTCTCCTCCGCTACTACATCAGAAACTTTCCATAGATGGAGATTCTTCTGATTAAAAAAATGTTACATTTTTTTTAAATTATAATTTTGGTATCTTGCTATTCCACTTGGAAAGCAATGAGAAGTTAGTTATAGGATACATATTTCAAGAATTAAATTGGTATGTCAAATGTCATTGGATTATGATTGTTCAGCTACTTTGCTTTTATCATTTTTAAAGGCACACAACGTATTCAATCAAATCATTTTAGGTTTGCCATATTCTTTTCATATTCCAAACTGTGTGTGAGTGTGGCGGGGGGGGGGGGCAGAGAAAGATTTTAGTACTTTAAAATTAAGATATGAGTCATGGCTTTGAACATCTGGGAATGCATAGGGCTCAAAAGCTTAGTCACTCACAGCAGGCTGAAAGATTCAGTTGGTAAGAAAAGGGAGTTGCCAATGCCTAGCACGCAAGGACTCTGTCCTAGAAATGAGTACATATAAAACATATAAAATTCATATAAAATTCATTTAGAATCAGTTCACACAGCTGGGCAAGAGCACATATGTGAAATATTCCTATGTAGCATATTTAATGTAATGTAATGTAAAATGAAAATACAACTATTCTTTTTACCAGTTTCCATTTTGACTCCCATTTGGGATGATTGGGGAGAATACACATATTCCACATTCAGTTCCATTGTCTTGCTTAGGTGTAAAACTCACCCTCTGGAGAAGAAGCGAGTGAAGCTGAAAAGGCAGATGTCCACATTAAAAGTGGTCCACAGATAACAGATAAGAATAGAGATATTCGAAACCTATTGTGCAATAATGATAATTATATTTTTAGTTTACTCAATAACAGACCATCATTATTTATGCAGGTATTCTGTAAATATTTTGTCTAAATGTGGCAGCATTTGTATCAGTGAATAATCGCTGTTTTATACACACACACACACACACACACACACACACACACACACACACGAACTTCCAGTTTTGCTCTCATAGGAAGAATGGCCTGCTATTGCTTTGCAATTACGTTAGCAGGAGAGGCAGAAGGATTGTATACATGAGCATGAACTACAGGTCATGATAGCTGATGACTGGTGAGTACACTGTCCCAGCTCAGGCAAAAGTGCTACGGCAGTGTCTGAACAGGTTCCCCTTCAAATTATGTATAGAAGTGGATTATTAGGAGGGGTGAAACCACAAGCAGGCAGAGTTAATTTCCCTCTTCCAGTTTGCAACTCTAAATTTGGAATACCAAAGCTCCATTCGTAAATGGAGTAACTTTCCAATGTGGATCAACCTTCTCCAATTGAGTAATTTACCGGTAAGTCAAATTAAGAATTAAGTTTGTGACTCCAATCCAACAGCTTGAGAGGCTAAAGAAATGATACATTCCCTACTTATACATATTACAGAAGCTGAAATCAAGTTCTCTCCAATAGAAATGTACTTTATACTATATACTTTCTTCTTGTTGGCAGGTATTTATTTCATGCAACTTTAAATCCATTCATCCATTCATTAGATTTGCAGTAAATTGTAAAGTGTTGAGGGAACCCAGTCAGTTATGGTTTAGTTAATAAACCAGAGCTAAATAAACCATGTTTCAGTCTGATAACAATAGCAATAGCACTTAAGTCTTATATACCGCTTCACAGTGCTTTACAGCTTTCTCTAAGTGGTTTACAGAGTCAGCACACTGCCTCCAACAATCTGAGTCCTCATTTTACTGCCCTTGGAAGGATGGAAGGCTGAGTCAACCACTTGAACCTGTGAGAAGTATGAACTGACTGATGTATGAACGTAGCCAAAGAGTTCTTGAGAAGCTGAGTTTTCTTTTAATGAGTGCACATCCAGATTGGAATTTACAATTAATTGAGTCGGTCTTGCAATTAAATTGCAAGAAACCATTACCAATAAGTAAATAAATACCCAGGAAAAAAATTATTTGATAAGTATTTGTGAGACACACACACATACACACACAGTATTATGATGGTGGTATATGAATGAGCGTCAAGCTTGCACACTCTTTTTTCTCCCTAGCTTCTTCTGAATTTTTGGCATTATGGAATGAAATGGTGATTATGGTGAAGTGTGTTAATCAGGCTCATTCATTTGGTAACACCAGATTTTATCCCAGAAGTAGGAAACCTATGACACTTTCAGGTTTTGCAGCACAACTCTTCACGTTTGCTCCTAGAGCTGCAGAGAATTAAATATTCTGTACTGAACTACCTGGAAGGCTATAGGTCCTGCATCTGTCTTTGATTACTACTTTATCTGGAACAAACTATATTTTGAAGAAAAGGAGTGTACAATAGCTTTTTACTACAGCTGTTTGTCCTGATTTAGCATTATGCAGTAGTTATTCATGTCTAATAGTTTTTGCTATTCATTTCCTTGGCAAGGCATCGATAATACAGTACATCCAATTCTTGGACACATAAGGAAGAGAGAGACAAAAAGATTTTTGTATAACATTTTAACAGTGTTTCCTTCTCTTAGCAGGGTAATACAAACTCAAACCAATTGACTTTTTAATTTAGTAAACAAGTTAACATATAATTGTTATACATCATAAATTTGGTACACTTTGTATAAAAATCAAGGGCATTCCTTCTAGATTGCATTATGCCAAACGTCTTTTTTCCTAGAGTAAAACCAGAAATGATCAGAACTTCCATATAGTACAAATGTACACCCAGAAACACATTACAATTTTGAGATGTGGATTCTTGATCTAATCATCTGTGAGTAAATGACAAGGTCAGTACATTCACTTGGATAAGTCCTTACAATGTTCAAGATGAAAAAAGCAAACAAACTAGAGTTTAATTTGGCATAAAATCTAGGTTATTGCAATACAAATCACTATGGGCGTTTCCCCAGCCTGTTGCCCTCCAGATATGTTACTGGGCATGCTGCTTGGGCTTTATGAAAATGGAAATCCCAAAATATCTAGGGTACAATGTTGGGGGAAATTGCCTTACAGTCTCAAAACGAGGCCATTTCACACTAGAAGAATTGGTTCTGTGTAGACCTTGTAAACTGTTAACACCATAGAAACTTGCCACAAAAGACATGTTTGTCAGCATAACCACATCAAAAGACAAAGATTAAGAACCAATTCCAACATGTTTCCTTGAGAAAGTGCACTCCTGGACTTCTCAACTTTCAGTTGAAGGTAGGAGAGAAGTCGCCCTGTGAAAAGCAGTGCTGTACACAATAGAGCGCGCTCCAGGCAGAACTCAAATTAGGTACAAGGTTTTTCACCTAAAAATGGAAAAATAGTTCCTGCTGCACTAGAAGAACATCCTATCACAACCTCCCTCGACTGAATCAGCCCTTGAGTTAATAAAATGTAGTGTCAGCAATATAGCATCTTCTTCCATCTATATTATACCAGTATTTTTTTAAATATAACTTTCAGTATTTCTTCTATTACAATTAAAATTTAAACAATTTATACAGAAAGATACCACTGAACAATATAGCATATCTTTAACATTCAGAAGATGTGTAAACTCATATTAATGCATAGCAATCATATTCTTGGACAGACATCATTCTTGGATTGACATTTGGGGTCTATGGACATTTCTACTGCCCTCCCTCACTTCACAGACTTTTGCTCCAATTATTAATTCCTGAATCTTAAGTCAGCCCTTTTCTTTTGCTGCATGAAAAGAGTGCCACCTTTTCCCTGACAGAGCTTCAATGTTTTGAGCAGCTTCTCCACAGGCCAAAATTCAACAGATGATGCTTCTTATAGCATGGCGACATAGAGATGTGGGAAGCTGCCCCCTTGTTGATGTGCAGGGAGCAAAGATTGAGTTCAAAGGCATAACCCTTCCAGTAGCACAGCAGGCATTACTGGTGGATCCTCCTCCTCCTCCTCCTCCTCCAACTCCTCCCTGTTCCCAAAATTTGTGGCAGACTTGGGATATGTGCAAAAGGCTGCATTAGGAGAATACTGTTGGATTTGGCCCATGGAGAGTCTCAATTAGAAAAAAAGCCAGTTAATTCAACTGGAAAGATACTCAAGATCTTTTTTCCACACTGTTCCAGATTGGTTTCTCTGTTCTGCTTAGTAAATATATAAGCAAAGAGCCTATAGCTGTGAGGTCTCCTTGATGCAGACACCAGAAATCGTCCATCCCTGGTTCAGACGGCAATACACGTGTTTATCTTTCATCAAAATAAGTCACATTTACTTTAGTGAAGTGCATGACAATGGCTTTGAAATGTTATATTTTATAGAATACAATTTTAAATCCCTTTTTTTTCCTGCTCTGTGCCCCAAAAGGTTCTTGTCTACAGAAATAAACCATGTTGCCTTGCATCACTGAACCCTCTGTCATGACAATATGCTCCATCCATCACAAAAAAGCTAATATCCTGGAAGGAAATGGAATAATATGCATTCAGTATTGTGCTTTGATATGAAGGATATGTAGCTCTTAAACTAGAAAACATGTTTTATGCACATTTCATTATGTGGGATGGGGGAGATTGGCGGTCACATGTGCTCCCACTTGAAAATGTCAAGCTTTGGAGCCAGAACAAAGAAAATGTCATGAAACACACACAGAATTCAGCGCATATTTTACAGAGCAATTACATATTGATGATGGAGATAAAATGTTGAATTTAAGTAGCTTGTGTGATTAAATTGTTCTTGGAGCCTTAAAAATGAGTTTTTAGAAAAATAACCAGCTGCCCCTATATAAAAAATGTTCAACAATCTGTTTGCATGCCCTTGTTTATTTAACAGTGAATAAGATAGTTTAAGTAGTAGGTTTGTCAAGTCAAACATTCAAAAGTAATGGTTTGTCCCCAAATATGTGGGCAACACTACCTCAAAAACTGAATCTGTTCGGAATTCTGAATATTTGGACCTCAAACACTGCGTAACAGTCATATTTATTGCAAAATGAGTTGTTCAGAATTTATAATCATAAGCATCAAAGTCTGCCCAGGTTATTAGATTTTCATTGTATTTACAGCCTAGTTTTATATTAATAAAGTTACGATTTTTGTATTTTTAAAAAATAAAGGGGAAAAAGAATGCTTCTTTTAGCAAAACAAAATTAAGCAGCATAATTTATTCTTAGTTGAGTAAACAATTTGGAAAGAGGCTGTTCTTTTGTTTTGCTTTGTTTTTTTGCTTGTTAGATAAATTATGGGAATTGTTCTCCGGCATAATGTATATTATTGTTGTTGGACTTTACTTCCATAAACTCCAGGCAGCATAAGCATGGTGATGGGAATGATGGAAATTGTTACCCAGACCTGTCTGAAGGACCATAGTTTCCCTATTATAGATATAGGGACCACTGCTTTTTTTGTTTTAAGCAAGCTCCTTTGAATAGCAGGATTAGGAGGCATTAGATAGAAATAGAAATCAAATGCAAGGTCATTCCTTCAAGTCATCCCAAACCAGAGGGACTTGCACTAAAAATATACCCTGCCATATAAGCCCATCTGCAATAAACTATACAGATGAGACTATCTGTTCCCATTCATCCTGCAATTCAGATGGGAACATAGATGCCAGTATGAAGTCATGGGTTACTAGTGAAATATTCAGTGACTGTCACTTGCTCAGAAGCCATACTAAATGTCAGAACTTCCAAGAAAGCCCATATCCAACCAAACTCATAACAGGATGAATGTCAGGAAGGATGTTGTTCTTGCCATTTCTTTTCTCAACATTTTTTGTCTCCTCTGCAGGTATTTGCGGTGGAAATTATTTAGGCTAGCGCTGATATAATTATTTTTCCCAGGTTGCAATACAATGGAAGGCTGGAAAAGTTTTCTGAAATTACAGATCCCAAACTTGCCTTATTCCACCCTTGCTTCTGCTTTGCTTCCTAATTGGGAAGTTATGATGTTAAAAAAGGAAAGACTACTGTACATATATTTCTGGATTGCGCTGGTTGGACAGGAAACTCTAACCAAATCAATAGTTCCCATATGATGCTTTAGGAACCACAGCACTTCAGATTGAAACATCATTTGTGTGCTATAATATGGATCTTAACATGTCTCTACAATGCATCAGAAACACATTTACTCAATGTAACGACTGCTGTTGAAATCCATGGAACTCTTTTAAGCAAGTTACTTAATCTGGAGTGTGTGTGTGCTCACACATGCTGCTGGATATCACCACTGTTCACCTGAGGATACGGCTCTTACAGTGACCAACCCAGATGCTACATGAAAATCTATGAGCAGGACACAAGTCTCTTGCCATCTCCTATATTTGTTCCATAGAATCTGATATAAGAGGCCTTCTGCCTCTGTTACCATTCATCTGACACACACAGCTCTTAATGCAAGTGGCTTCTATTCATTCAAACAGAGAAAGCAAATCTACCAATCCATTTCTTATGATCCACAGAGCTCACTTCTCTTTGGATCTTGGAAGAAACTAAAGGACAAAATCTAAGCAATACTTACGCTTTGCCAGAAAAAACAATATTGCAACTTCCAGGATTGTTCCTGGGCTTATACAACGTGGTTTATTTTGGTCAACAGGCTTTTTTTAAAAAAAATGTAAATACTCCCCACAGACTGACTGTGAATCTATTATGTACAATGTTACTGAGAGCAGCAGGGCTCACACATCACAATGCTAAATAAACAGTGGTCCTCTGCACCGTTAATCAAACATCACTGGGTGATCTGGCCCTTGCAGAAATGTTTGAAGGTATGCAGCCGCAGCAGATGAGCCAAAGTGCCTTTTGTATTTCTTGATTCCGGAAAGCATATATAACAGGGTTGATGATGGAATTATATGTGGCTGGAAGCAAGGTGGCGTAGGTGTAAATAGAGGGATATGTGTAGTCAGCTATTAAAGAATAGAGTGTGAAAGGCATCCAGCAAGCAGCAAAGGTTCCCAGGATAATGGCTAAAGTTGATACTCCTTTCCGGGTGGTCACATAGTGGGAAGTTGCTAGGAAGTGATGCTGCAAGGCAATCTGGTGAGCATGGCGCATCACAATTTTGCAGATCTGAATGTACAGCTGTAACATGAGAGCGAACATAAGCAAGAAAGAGACCGAGAGGATGGCCGCATTATTTTTAGTGAGGGGCCTGATAACGCTGCAGGTGGACTCATCTTTGAGGCAATTCCATCCCATGACTGGCAGAACTCCCACACAGATTGAAGCACCCCAGAGCAGAATAAGCATAATGTAGGTAAAAGTCACCGTCCTCTCAGAATTGTAAGTCAAAGCATAATAAAGGGAGAGGTACCGGTCCACAGTGATGGCCAACAGACTGCAGATAGAAGCAGAAAAAGAGGCGACGATCAAACCAACTGTGACCAGCTTGGTAGAGTCCGACTGGAGAAGATAAGCAAAAAGAAAATTGATGATCAATCCAATTCCTGCTAAAAGATCTGCCAAGGCCAAGCTGCCTATCAGGAGGAACATTGGGGCACGAAGACTGGGATTATGGAAGATGATAAGGACCACAACAGCATTTTCACAGGAGATCAGTGTTCCTGAAGTACATAAGACAACATCCCAAGGGTTTACTATAAATCCCGGTTCGGGGTCACTGGAAGGAATGAGAGAGGTGACTGCAGCTGAGATGTTCTCTGGTGGTGGGCTGGTTTCTAAGTGATCCTGAGGCAGCCATGATAAATTAACCGTCGGGTCTTCGTTCATATTTAAACCCGTCCTCTTCAATGAAAAGACATTTTTAAAAACACATAGACAAACTTAGCGCCTTGTTAGCAGCAATATTAAGGAGCATGCAATAGACTTTAGATTTCTAAATAAACCAGCAGATGCTTCTTCCATCAAGATGACTGCAAAAAGGAGGATGAGAACAGACAGCAGGTTTAAAGCTGCCCATGGGGAGAAAAAAACAAAGGGAAGAAATAACACCGTATGCCTTCACAGAAAACGTGAAGGGAAGTGCAGAGACAGAATATACGGTCCTTTCCTCAAGAATAAAATGCCATAAATCAGCTAAAACTGGGGGAAAGAAGATCCTAAAAGAACAACCTTACACATAGAAGCACCCAAAATTAAAGGCTCCTCATCCACCATTTCTGAGCCAAGATGATGGATTAAGTGACAAATCAGTCACAGGCATAAGCACTTGGGAACACTTCCTTTTTACCTTGATTAACAAAAAAATACTGAGACTCTCCCAATATTGTGGCAGCAGCTCCTCTGCACCCACAACTCCATCCGAGCCCTTTCTTAAGGAGGGCGGGGGGAGGTGCAGAAAACCCTCCGTGCAACTCATTTAGTGTCGGTATGGGCGATGGGGGAGCGGAGAAGTTAACAAGGGAAATGTCATGCAGGGTGATGGAGGGGGGCGGTTATCTGCATAACCTCCCCCGTTCAGAACATGAGGAAATGGATGGACAGACACAGTGATACGACCACAACAGCCAGCACAACGGGGCGAGCCCCCGGAACGTTGGTCACCTTGGCTTCCCCTCTACAGAGGAGGAGGAAGAGGAGGAGGAGGAGGCGTCCCCGCTTCCTTTTTATGCAGCAAGCTTTGCTGCTGCCGTTGCTGCGGCGGCGGCGGCTGTCGCCTCTTGCAAGCCCATTGTTCGCCCAGCGCAAGCCCAGGACAAGGGCAGCCGTCGCGGTGCCAGCTCCAGGATGGCGCGAGAGGAGCGCAGGTGGAAAAGCCCCTGCCCGTGCACGCGGCGCCTCGGGCATCCGAGGGTGTCGCCAGCGCGCGTGCAACGAAGGAGCGCAGAGCGGGCTCAGGAAGGAAGGAGGGAAGGAAGGAAGGCGCGCCTCGCCCGCCTCGCCTCGCCTCGCCCCGCCTCGCGGGTTGCCGCCCGCTTGCGACCACGTAAGCCGGCTGGCTGAAAAGGTAGGGTAGCGTGATCGGCGCTCGCAGGGCGGCCGCGCGAGGGGGCGCAGAGTCACGAACGCCGTGAAGCCGGATGGCATTGGAGGAGAGTGGAAGAGGGGTGGGGGGAGGGAGAAGAGAGAGGGGGGCGAGGGAGACACCTGCTGCTTCGCAATGCGCAAGCGTTGCCGCGGCTGGTGAATTCAATACTAGCCTTTTCGAAGTCCTCCGACGAGGCTCCTCGTTGCCTCCGAAAGCAGAAAAGTCAGCGCTTCGTCCACTTGCTTGTGGTTTAGGATTGCAGCGGCCTGCCGGGCGTCTGAACTTCAGCATTATGGTTTGGTGAATTATGTGAACCCAATCGGCTTCATTGACAGGATGCTGTATATATTAAAGTTTGGCAATTAAGGTGCAGAGATGACATTCTAAACGGGCACCTTATTTACTGCTCCTTGGACATCAGGCTCACTTATAGCCATCCCAAACACTTGAAAAAGCTCTGCTGTTTAACCTTCTACTTTTTTGTGCCTCTTGCTGGATATCTGGGCCAACATAATAAAGAGGCTTTGAATATTCAGCCTAGACGTTTACCTGAGTTCAGAGTTGTTTTCTCAATGCATGCTGCATGTAAGCCAGTATGGAACAAATAATCCATAGCTCCAACACTTATCATAGGACCAGATTTCTTTTGGGATTAGTCTTGATCAGAAATGCTCCTTCCATCACCCAGGGGGAAGGCATCTGCCTTAAAAAAGATGTTGAGACTCTAGAAAGAGTACAGAGAAGAGCAACAAAGATGGTTAGGGGACTGGAGGCTAAAGCATATAAGGAACGGCTGCTGGAATTGGCTATGTCTAGTTTAATGAAGAGAAGGACGAGGGGGGACATGATAGCAGTGTTCCAGTATCTCAGGGGCTGCCACAAAGAAGAGGGAGTCAAGCTGTTTTCCAAAGTGCCTGAAGGCAGGACAAGAAGCAATGGATGGAAACTAATCATGGAAAAGGGTAACCTTGAACTAAGGAGAAACTTCCTGACAGTTAGAACAATTAACCAGTAGAACAACCTGCCTCCAGAAATGGTGAATGCTCCAACACTGGAAGTTTGTAAGAAGAGACTGGGCAGCCATTTGTCTGAAATGGTATAGGGTTTCCTGCCTGAGCAGGGGGTTGGACTCGATGACCTCCAAAGTCCCTTCCAACTTCACTATTATTATTATTATTATTATTATTATTATTATTATTATTATTATTATTAAACAGATGCTGAAGAGTGGGAAGAGCCAGAGCTAAAGGTGCTGATGGGTCCTATAGCTTCCAAGTCAAGGGAGAAGGATGTTCTGTCACAGAGGCTGAAGATCTGCTCATCTGTTCAGCTTTTGTACATGGAGAAAGGATTGGCTGGTTCTTTGCTAGAGACATCAAAACCTCCTTTGCTTCAATGATGATAGCAATCTAGGTTGGTAATACTGGGTGTCCGGCTCTTAACAGTTTCAGATCCAGAGGTAGATAGGAGCCCCCTCAAAAAAGCAGTGGCTCCTGGTTTTATCTTACAGTTTTGGTCAGATCACTACTTGGCAATCAATGCAGTCAAGTGATGAGTGGAAATTCTGCGAGAAAAAGTTGGGAAAGCTGGATGGGTTTGAATTAGAAAAATGACAGTCAATAGATGGTGTAGCTACCCTCAGATACATTACACTGATTATTTTTTCTTTGTTCAATCATGTCTGATTTTCACAGACTGCTCGGACAAGTCCCTGAAGCTTTCTTGGCAAGGATTTACAGAAGTGGTTTGCCATTTCCTCCTTCCTAGGGCTGAGCAAGAGTAACTGTCCCAAGTTCATCCGGCTGGCTTTTTTGTTTAAGGTGCAATTAGAATCCCAGTTTCCCAATTTCTAGTCTGATGCCTTAATCACTAAATCAAACAGGTCATAGGAGGAGGGATGTATTATCAGTGGCTGCAGATGTCAGGCCCTAAGCCGATGACTTCCCATTGCAAGAAACTGGTTAGTTCAGAAATCACATAGAACAGTGATGGTGAACCATTTAGAGACCGAGTGCCCCAAAACTGGCCCTGCCCCCGCTTCCACTCCATCCACTACCCCACCCCCACTCTGCCTGCCTGCAGGACCACTCACCGCCTCCAGGGCCTGCTGCAGATCGCCCAGGCAGCCCATCAGTACCATGGCGGCCACGCCCTCTGCCCGCGCCCTGCAGCATCAACTGCACGATGGGGCATGAGGGTAAAGTCTTGTCTACGCTGCCTGGCTGCCATGTCCTTGGCTGTGCTGCTCCATGTGGGCCACGCTCAGGGACAACTCTCCTCCGGGGGGGCTGCTGGTGAGGGGGTCACAGGGGGAGGCAAGGCTGGGGCAACGGCACGTGTTGCCATAGGTTCGCCACCACTGACATAGAACATCCTGATGTCTAAACTATCAGCAAATTCTCTTTCATGGGGGTGTACTTTTCTGCATTGACAAAAGGTTGGTTTAGATATTCTTTGAGGACCCTTTCAACTCTGATCCTTCAGGAGCTGCATACTGTGTATATAACACAATCCTGCTTTACTGTGTCCAACATCATGTTTGTCTTTCAGAATGAAAAGAAAGCAATTATGAAAAGTTATCGGATAGTGTACTGATTAAGATAGTGGGCTACAGCTGGGGTGACCAGGGTTCAAATTGGGGAAGTTTGTTGGCCAACTTTGAATCAGTCATGCTTTCTCAACATATCCTAGGATGCAGAGTTGCTGTGGAGAACAATTTAGGGAAGGAGTGTTGTGCATGCTGACTTGAGCAGTTAAAAGAAAGGTGGACCATAAATTGAACAAATGAACGAACAAACGAACATGTATATTGGTGACACAATAGAGTTTTGGAAGTGAGCAGAGTGGGTAACAAGGATTATTATTTGGGAAATGCTAATTATTTGGGAATTATTGAAATCTGGTCTCTCTATCTCTGTTTCAGCTATATCCACTACTTACTACCAGAGAAACCGTTATAAATTCCCTTTCTTTAAAAGGCATAAATGCATTTGTTTAACCAAGAGTTCTGATAACATTTTCCTGAGATGTGGGTTGTCTCTGTAACATCTCTGTGAAATCCTTCAGAATTTCTGAAATGGTTTATTTATTGCTTGAGGTGGTTGGTGCAGGGGCGGGGGCCAATGGAGGCAGTTCAATAATTTATCAGACCACACAGCAGCAGTGAGATCTATGCCTGGAATGCTGGTAGACGTCTCATCTGTTCCATGTGCTGCTCATATCGACTTATTTGGCTGATAGAAAAGTGCTCATCAGGGAAATCAGAACAGCTATAAAAATATACCTGGGGATTTAAAAAAGAACTAAAAGGACTCATTGGTATGGCAAGGACTGAGTCAAACACACACACACACACACATACACACACACACACACTCATACACAGTGAGAGACAGAACAAAGAAATAGAAAACGGCAATCATGGGAAATCTTCAGTGGAATGACCAGTTTGCTTTTGTTTAAAATCCATACACTCCTCCCCACAAGCTGCCTATGGATTTTGTGCCTTGCCATATAATACAGCTAGGAGCATCTGCTCTTTGAGTCTGCTTTTTATGTTTTTCCCAGCATATTAACTAGAGCTAGACAGAGAATCTTGTTTGCTTTTTGCCCCTTTATTAGTTCTCATTCAGGTTGATGAAAGTGTAGACAGCTTTTTGAAAACTGGAGTGTTGTGTTCTTGCATTTAGAGGTTTGTCTTGTATTTCACCATTCAATTGTCCCTCCATCAGCCTGTAATCATGACACTTCAGTGTGTCCCAGGGGACATTATTGGGAGATGACTTCTCTCCCTAGACTTCCTCCAGCCAAGTCCAGTCTTTGAGAAATTGCTGGATATTTTTTTTCCCCTGCAGAAATTCAACAAAATTGTCTACTCAATTTCTCTGCAGAAAATTTCAAATTGTGATTTATGCCTAGCCCTACTTTCTACAGCATTGTGGGGTTTATTGTTTTTGACTCTTAATTTGAGATAAGAATGTCTATTGTGTATGCTGCATTCCAAGTATAATCAATAATATAATCTTATGCACACTGTGTAGTAAATCTGATTGTGTTACTCTAGTAAATAAATTTAGGATTAAGCAATTCTATTGTGAAAGTAATTATTACGGTAATTGGTAGGATTTAAGTTGTTATTATATACAGCAACTCCTATTAAACCCAATAAGATTTACTTCTGAGTATGTATAAGGTTTCATTGTTTATTTTTATCTACGTACAGTATGCCCTCAATTCATCCTTGAGTTAGCAACTATATTGGCATGAAATTTGCCATGTCTGTTGCTGATCCCCTGCTGATCCCTTGCTTGTTCTATTGCTTCTGTTCAGGTAGTGCTGACCTCTCTTCAAGGTAAAGAGTGTCAAAGCCTATTTGACAAAAATATTGAGAGGCTTTCAATGTTTTGTTCTCCTGGAATGCTTGCTGCTTCTCTTTCTTAGCCTTGCCTAATTCAAAGGGTTGCCATCAATGTCAATTGTTTTAATACAAAGCACAATTCTATATATCAGCCTTCTTGAACCCCTGGTTGGGTTAGGAAAACATAGCTAAGAATTCTAGAAATTGTAGCCCAGCAAATCTTCCTGATGCTAAGGTTAGGAAAGGCAGTTATACTAATGTACTCAACCTAAAGTTGCACTCCTATACTTTTTACCTGAGAATAAACACAAGCTAAAACATATAAGGAACAGTTGCTGGAATTGAGTATGTCTAGTTTAATGAAGAAAGGATGAGGGGTGACATGATAGCAGTGTTCCAATATCTCAGGGGCTGCCACAAAGAAGAGGGAGTCAAGCTATTCTCCAAAGCACCTGAAGGCAGAACAAGAAGCAACAGATGGAAACTAATCAAGGAGAGAAGCAACCTAGAACTAAGAAGAAATTTCCTGACAGAATAATTAGTCAGTGGAACATTTTGCCTCCAGGAGGTGTGAATGC